TTAAAACTGTTTCAACAAGGAAATCGCCAATGCGACATTGTTCGTTTACTTGGCATACCAAAACAAACGGTCTCTGACGCTACCCGGCGATTTAATGAGCTTGGCCATGAAGGTGACCGACCCGGACGAGGCAGAACATGCACCGCTAACACTTCCAGAGTTCGCCAGATCGTGAAAAAGCGGATCACTCGGAATTGCAGAGTCTCGGCCAGAAAAATAGCCCGTGAAATCGGAGTGAATCGAGAAAGTGTTCGGTTGATTTCAAAAAATGAACTTAAGCATAGTACTGAGTTGACGAAAATCCGCTGTCCAACGAGTGACAACTGTCAAACTCCATATAAAAAAACGGTGTAAAAAAGGAAAGAAGAAGAAATTTTTGCCTTCTAGATTTTGCGGGTACTGAGTCGACGAAAATATTATCGATTTTAATCGTGTTGCCGGATTAAAAAAAAAAAACAGCTGCTCTCGGGGTGTTAAAAGAAATATTTGAATTTATTTTTATAGGTGTGACATGGAGGGTCAATTGACCAAACAAAAAAATAGTCGGCCCGAAAAATTTTCGACGCGCCAGGACAAATTAAAATTAATTTCTGCGGTCAAGACGAAGCCCATAATATGGGATTTGACCCACAAGGGGCATTTTAATTCCATAAAATGGCATTGAAATGATTTGTGATTGATTTTGATTTTGATTTTGACCCAGTTTTCTATTTCTTAATCAGCTCCTTAGCGGCGAAATACATAAACAAAACACCAACATCCAATCGTTTTGAATTCATTTTGGCTTATTTGTTTTTTGTTTACAAACAACAGCTGTTCAGTATTACCTTATTTTTCATTTTTTTGGTCACACTAGCTCGGTAGTTGAATAAAGTGCAAAATCGCTATCAGAATTTCAACAGCGGATTTTCGTCAACTCAATACTATGCTTTAATCACAAGCCCTACAAGCTCCAAAAAATGCATCTTCTTACTGATGACAATAAGCGCGTGAGACTCCAAAGATGCCGTCAGCTAAAGCGTCGCGCCGCAGGTCAAAAATGCGAGCGTATTCTCTTCACGGACGAGAAGATATTCACCATCCAACAGGCGCACAATCACCAAAATGACAGAAGCTGGTCTGCTAAAGCTCCAGGTACCTCTGCAAAAATCGAGTGCCATCAATGTGAGCATTCTTTAATGGTTTGGGGAGGAATATGCGCCACCGGCAAAACACCCCTTGTTTTCATCGATCAAGGGGTCAAAATCAATCAGGAAGTGTACCGCCTGGACATTTTGGAAACTGTTGTGCTTTCTTGGGCCCAGCAGCACTTCGGTGATACGGAGTGGACGTTTTAACAGGATTCAGCGTCCCCCCATAGAGCCAAATTGACTCAGGACTGGTGCAAAGCCAATTTTTCGGACTTTATCACATCCAGTGAATGGGCACCTTACTCGCCAGATCTTAATCCGATGAACTACAGTGTGTGGTCTATTTTGGAGTCCAGGGGATGTGCTTAACGCCACATATGTTTGGAGGCGCTGAAGCAATCATTGCTCCGAGAATGGGATCGATTATCGGAAGAAGACCTGCGGCCCGTTGCGCTAAATTTTCAGAAACGTTCAGGGCTCTGCATCGCAGCCCAAGGAAGCCACTTCGAAACCGGCTGAATATATGTTAACACAATACCTATTTAATAGTTGTGTAACTGTGTTTTTGTCAAATACAGTTCCTTAAGAAGTTATGATCAAAAAAGTTTGTCCGGGTTATTTATTGTCACCCTGTACATATTACATAAGGCAAACATTATTTTTAAGTTATTATTTGATCGTAATTCAGCAAGTCAATCCCTTAAAGCTATAGCGTAAACAATATTTTTTGTTAGTCCATCTTTAGCTAACACATACAAACTGGATGGTTTACCCACTAGAGAGAATGCCACGTATAATTGTCCGTGTGAAAAACATGGTGTTCTTAAATCTAAGCCACAAATAGACATCGTTTGACCTTGGGATTTGTTGATAGTCATTGCAAATGCCAATCTAATCGGAAACTGAATACGTTTGAATTGAATTGGCGCATCTGTAAGTATAATGGGAATCCGTGTTATTAGTCACCTCTAAACTTTCCATTTAAAATGCCGGCTTCGATCACGTTTTTCATTAATTTTTGAATGACTAATCGCGTACCGTTTCACAGTCGGGGCGGGTTCAAATTACGAAGTATGATAATTGGAGATCCAACCTTAAATTGTACATTATGAGTTGGCATAATGGAGCGAACAACTATACTATATATCTGCCATACTAATGATCGCTCGAAAATGTCAACGTTCGTTTTTTATACCCTTGCAGAGGGTATTATAATTTTGTCCAAAAGTGTGCAACGCAGTGAAGGAGACATCTCCGACCCTATAAAGTATATATATTCTTGATCAGGATCACCTCCTGAGTTGATATAAGCATGTCCGTCTGTCCGTCTGTCTGTCTGTCCGTTTCTACGCAAACTAGTCTCTCAGTTTTGAAGCTATCGACTTGAAACTTTGCACACACCCTTCTTTCCTTTGCACGCAGTATATATGTCGGAACGGCCCGGATCGGCCGACTATATCCTATAGCTGCCATATAACTGATTGATCGAAAATGGTATAACTTTGGTGTTTTTAGAGTTAGAGATTTGACACGAAAGCTATTTTTGGCTACATGCCAAATTTCATAAGGATCGGCCGACTATATCTTATAGCTGCCATATAACTGAACGATCGGAAATGACCCAACTTTTGTGTTTTTGAAGATAGAAAGCTGAAACTTAGTACATATTCTATTTTTGATCAGTTAATCAAACCTACCAATTTTCATTAGAATCGGCCGACTGTATCCTATAGTATAACTGAACGATCGGAAATGGTATTTGGTAGAAATATCAATTTTCGTATTTTTGAAGATAGAAGCTTGGGACCTTTTTTTTAGATTTTTTATTGTAGTTTATTGGTTTTATTATGATTTAATCATAAGAATCGGCCAACTATATCTGATGTTTGCGATATATATCCGGTTTTAACTGCAAGGGTATATCAACTTCGGCTCCGCCCGAAGTTAGCTTTCCTTTCTTGTTTTTATATAGAAGTTAGGGACTTCCTGTAGACTCTAAATGTTTAAGGATCGACCAAACTATATCCTATACCTGTCATATAACTGAACGATCTGAATTGGTTAGGATACAAACAACTTCGTATCCGCTCGAATTCACATTTCAGTTTTTGTTATACCCTTGCAATGTGTATTATAATTTTGATGAAAAGTGTGCAACGCAGTGAAAGAAATATATCCGACCCTATAAAGTATATATATTCTTGATCAGGATGACCTCCTGAGTTGATAAATTTTCGTCCGTCTGTCTGTTTACGCGAACTTGTCTCTCAGTTTTAAAGCTTTCGACTCGAAACTTGGCACACCTTTCTTTTCTTTGCATGCAGGTCTAAGCCGGAACGGCCGGGAACGATCGAAAATACCCCAACTTTTGTGATTTTAGAGCTGTGAATCCCATAGATTCTATTCACGCAACAAAACCTGCCATTCACTGGTTGTCGAACACTCCACGTTCATTTCCGACATTTCACGATACAACCATTCGTTCTTCGGATGGGTATTCTACATCTATGAGTTAAAATGCAGGGAAAAGTGATACGCGAAGCTGATCATCTCAAAAGAGTAAAATTAAAAAAAAAAAAAAAAACCTTAATCAACAACGATAAGATTCTCGCCGAGTCTTTGCTTAAAACCTGCGCAACTACGGGACTGAGCGGTCGTCCTCCTTTGCGCGGCTCCGGGAAAAAAAAGAGTTTAAATATATAACAGTTAGCTAACCAAAATCTGAGGTAACCCAAGATAAGGAAAAAAGTAGCCAAAGGAAAAACAAATAAAAAAAAAACTGTTGCATAAATGTTCAAGATAAGCATAAGTGCTAACCTCAATGAGCATATGCGTAATTAGCTCAATGAGCTTAAAAAAGCCACAACCTCTTTTTATAAAATTGACTATTTTAGTGCCCATTCGAACTTTTCATTTAACGAAATGCTTTCATTGTTTTTTGCTGCTTTCGAACACACTCACATGTTAAACACTTGTGCGTTTTGCCCACCTCTGATATATCGTATTGCATTTCAGATGTAGAAGAGCCCCACAAACAAATTACGAAGTCACTACTGTGTCGAGTAAAATGAGTCTGTGTCGAGTAAAATGAGTTAAAGAGTCGTATGCGTCAAGCACCGGCAACGTTGGAAAACCCACGGAATGATAACACATCAATTAAAAATACGCTAGACGTCGTCTTCGTCTAAAATCTCTACTCCGCAGAAATGCACTCCGCCTTCGAACATTGATGATATTGAAGCGCTGTATTTCTCGATGTATCTCAAGCCCATGAGCTACATGTGTCGTACCTCTTTAATGAGTCTCGTCAGGAAAGAGAAGATTCAAGAAATAGTCCGAATTCTGTTAATGAAGATGGGTGATTGCGCATGTAGGGTTTATAACCAGTACTCGGAGAATACATAGGTACATTTTATTTGTGTGAATGCATATAACATGAAAAAAAAATCTTCTCCGATACCATTATTTATATATAATATATTCTAAATCAGATGTCTTAGATGGAGGATTTGGATGGAGACTCCTAAACAACAATCCTTCGCCCCCCAATAATAGCATATTTTTGCAACAGGATGTTAAGAATGTACGAGATGATATTTAAAAAAAAATGATTCCTCTTTATATCTGAAAAACAGACAGCTATCGGAAACGGTATTTGCTCCCTCCCATGGCTGAAAAGCTGTTTTGGTCGATCTGAATACTAAGTTTAATAGTAAAAGTAAAATGTTTATATGTATGTATACTCGTATTTCTGTTAAGAAGAATATTCAATCTAGGCACATAGTCAATACTTAAAGATACATCCTGATTAATGCTTTTACGTCTAAAAAAGTAAATTTTGGCATATTTATTAATTAATTTTCTTTTCAGATGGGGTCGCGGCCATCCCGAAGAGTACACAGATGCTATGAATTTAGGTGAGGAGCGTTTTGATTCCATTGATTCCGATAAGAAGCCTAGAGCTGGTCAAATTCTGTGGATTCGTGGTCTTACCCGTTTGCAAACCCAAGTAAGTTTCTAATTAAAATAATTATTTATTCATTCTTGATTAAAATAAAGTTGTTAATATCATAAGTTAAGATAGATTTAAATTTGTGAAATATATGTTTTTAATTTATTTTTTTATGCCCGCTATTCGTAGAGCATCCGGGTAAAGTATAAAGTATACCGCATATAGTATTATATAAATATTGTTGATCAGCATCAAAAGCCGAGACGATGTAGTCCGTCCGTCCGTACATATGAATTTTTTTTATTTTTTAGATTTTAGATTTTATAGAAGTTATGAACATTTTCATTCTGATTGCCAGTATTCATTGTTAAGCGTTTGGATCTCGAAGAACTATACGATTTGGCAACAAAGCTCATATGATACCCATGCATATTAAGTTAGTGTCAGAATATTTTCTTATTGGATGTTTTTAAGAGGAGTGATAGACTTTTTGTTATGCTTTTTTACTGGAATGATTTAATTGTTTAAAACCCTACAAGAGTATGCAACAGTTAGTTAGTTAAATTGTGGTTAAAAGAGATGAGTACCGGGTATCATATAGTCGATAAACTCGATTATAGCCTACCTTTCAAGTACCTTTTATTATTAATGAGTTTTGGAGAGCTATAAGTATGTTTCAGTTTATACGTACAATTTTTATTGGATTTAGGTCATAAATTATCAATAAAGTTTACAAAATTATAATTTATAATTTATTAGGTTTTATTAGGTTTGTATACGACGTCTTATGAAACTTATACTATAAGTATGAGCTTTAGATTTTTTTTTAGGTATATTAACATGTCTTTAAATTATAAAAAATATCAAAGTGTTTTTAATTTGTAAACTATACCATACCATTTTTTATTCGTTTTTGTTGGGGTCTAATAAATACGTATTGCGTATTAATTCATAATATTAATACGTAATCTTGTCGTATTATGCAACAATTTTTAAACTTTGGGAAAAAATCTTTGAAAATATGTTAATTATATTAATTATTCCCATGAAAAGTAAAGAGCTTGTATTATATAATAACTAATAAAAGTTTTTTACTATATATGTATTTATTTATATACATATTTACATATGTATAATTTATTAGTAAAAGATTACACCTACCGTAAATATATAAATCGTATTGCGTATTAATTCATAATATTAATACGTAATCTTGTCGTATTATGCAACAATTTTTAAACTTTGGGAAAAAATCTTTGAAAATATGTTAATTATATTAATTATTCCCATGAAAAGTAAAGAGCTTGTATTATATAATAACTAATAAAAGTTTTTTACTATATATGTATTTATTTATATACATATTTACATATGTATAATTTATTAGTAAAAGATTACACCTACCGTAAATATATAAATCGAAAAAAAGGAAAGCTATCTTCGGGACGATTCAAAGCATTATACCCATGCTATGTTTATAATTGGAAGTCATGCATACATGAATGCATGTATGCATTCCAAATTTTCGGTTATTTGGGTTCAACATATCTGGAACTCAACTCATCGCTCCGAAGTAGTTTGAACTGAGTGAATGAATGTTGAATGCACGTTGTATTCTATGCAACAAAAAGCCAAAGTCAAAAGCCAAAAAGAAAATAAGTCAATTAAAAACCATAGCAGATCGAGTAAAATAAAACATGGCAAAGCAATGTATTTTTGTATTCGGCGTTTATGGTGTTTGGTTTTAGCTCTAAGCGAAATGAGCACAAGACCTTGGATCAAAGCTTACTATGTGCTTACTATGTAATAAAAATATGTATATGCATATGTGAATATATATTTATATGTAAAATTTTTCTCTTTACCAACACTGTAAATCTAACAAAACTCTAATCCTACTCTAATTCCTACATTCCTACATTAAAATTGAATTTCCATCCCTTTTTATTTTTTTGTGCTAAAAATAGTTAAAATCAAAAACGAAATTAAAATTAAACAAAAACGAAAAAACCAAACCCGCAATAACTGCCAGAGTACTACAACTTAGTTAAAGTTAAAGAATGAAATAATTGAAATAATACTTAGTTAAAGAATGAAATAATTCATTGGAGTCTTTTTTGAATTCTACTCAAGTAAAGTTTCTCCTCAGTGCTTTAACACAATTTCAAAAACGAGATTGACTGAATGTTTTTTCTCAGTCAATCAGTGCCAAGTTTTGAATGCATTCATGCAGACCTCAAATACATATATATTATAGTTATAATATACAGTGGCGAGCAAAATTGAGTGCATGTCCACGACTCAGACTTTCGTCACCCAAAAAATCATAATCACATAACCAAATCCAACAATTTTTTTTTATTTTCTCTTAATTATTTAAGAGGGGACAACTGAGTAAAAGTGGGAAAAAAATCGGATTTTCTGGAATTTTTTTGGCCAAATGAAAAAACCATTCGAAAATTGGTAAATTAGGTTTTATAATATTAGATGCGAAATACGAAAAAAAATATCGAATAAATCCTTAATTTTTGATGTTGAACAAAAAAAAAAAATTCTGTAGTTTCTATACATCAACAGCTATCGACACACGTAGGATTTTGGCGATATACAGATTTTTTGCACAATGGTGAGTGATTGAAAAAAAGTTAAAATTTTCCCAAAAAAAAAACGTGACAAAAATGTTGATAAAACAAGAAAGAAAAGCAAACTTCGGGCGGAGCCGAAGTTTATATACCCTTGCAGTTAAAACCGGATATATATCGCAAACATCGGATATAGTTGGCCGATCCTTATGATTACATCATAATAAAGCAAATTCATTACAATAAAAAATCTAAAAATAAAGTCCCAAGCTTCTATCTTCAAAAATACGAAAGTTGATATTTCTACCAAATACCATTTCCGATCGTTCAGTTATATGGCAGCTATAGGATATAGTCGGCCGATCCTAATGAAATTTGGTAGGTTGGATCAACTGGCCAAAACTAGAATCTGTATTAAGTTTCAACTTTCTATCTTCAAAAACACGAAAGTTGGGTCATTTCCGATCGTTCAGTTATATGGCAGCCATAAGATATAGTCGGCCGATCCTTATGAAATTTGGCATGTCGTAATGGTTTGCCAAAAATAGCGATCCGCGCCGTTCCGACTTATATACTGCGTGCAAAGAAAAAAAGGGTGTGTGCAAAGTTTCAAGACAATAGCTTCAAAACTGAGAGACTAGTTCGCGTAGAAACAGACAGACAGACGGACAGACAGACGGACAGACGGACATGCTCATATCAACTCAGGAGGTGATCCTGATCAAGAATATATATACTTTATAGGGTCGGAGATATCTCCTTCACTGCGTTGCACACTTTTGGACAAAATTATAATACCCTCTGCAAGGGTATAAAAAAGGAAGCAATATAAAAAAAATCCTACGTGTTGTCACTAAACAAAGGTATTTTGAATATACTGTCAAAATTTCAGAACGACCGGTTAAGAGTTGTGTGAGTTATGTGTCCGGCAGTCTCAATAAAAGTGGTTTCGAGAAAAAACGCGTTTAAAGTTTTAAGTACTGTCGGATATACCTGTGAGACATCGCTGCAGAATGAAAAATTTCGACAGTTAGACAATTTTGCCGGACTCTATCTTTTGATATGTTATTTTTAAACAAAAGAATGTTTTACGCGAAAAAAAAATTTTCAATTTTTTCAAAACTCTTCTCAGATGTCCCCCCTTAATTCTTAATAAATTCTAAGCAAAACAAATTATGATACAGATGAATTCGAGAAGACATAAATTAAAAACGAAAAAAACCCACATAAACTCAATTTTGCCCGTTTCAAAGAGTTTTAATTTCCAAAATAATATTAATATTTTTTCCACAGAAATTTATTTGAGTTGATTTCCTGTACGCGGTCAGGTATGCTCTTTACCAAAATTTATATTATATCTTTAGGAATACGTATCTATTTAGCTACAACACGCTTTCAAAGGTTGTCCACTGTTTGATGGAGCTGTTTCGTACTGCCTGAGCCGTCTTTTCATTATTGACCAAAGATTTTCAATCGGTTTGTTAATTTCGGTTTGTGTCGGTTAATTTAAAAGGTTGCCTTCCAATCCATTCCTTAACAATTTTCAAAGTGTGCTTCGGATCCCCATCTTGTTGAAAATCCATTTCTTTTTTGGAATAAGCACGAAATTATAATTATACGAAATTTCGGAATTATTTTTCAATAAAATATGTCTTAAATGAGGAGGAACAAGCTCTTGACACGTATATTATAACTATAATATATGTATATATTTGAGGTCTGTATGAATGCATTCAATGGATACGTATTCCCAAAGATATAATAGAAAGTTTGGTAGAGAGCATACCTGACCGCGTACAGGAAGTCATCTCAAATAAATGTCTTTTCCTAATGAAATTTGGTAGGTTGGATCAACTGGCCAAAACTAGAATCTGTATTAAGTTTCAACTTTCTATCTTCAAAAACACGAAAGTTGGGTCATTTCCGATCGTTCAGTTATATGGCAGCCATAAGATATAGTCGGCCGATCCTTATGAAATTTGGCATGTCGTAATGGTTTGCCAAAAATAGCTCTCGTGTCAAATTTGAACTCTCTAACTCTAAAAACACCAAAGTTATACCTTTTCCGGGCCGTTCCGACTTATATACTGCGTGCAAAGAAAAAAAGGGTGTGTGCAAAGTTTCAAGACAATAGCTTCAAAACTGAGAGACTAGTTCGCGTAGAAACAGACAGACAGACGGACAGACGGACAGACGGACATGCTCATATCAACTCAGGAGGTGATCCTGATCAAGAATATATATACTTTATAGGGTCGGAGATGTCTCCTTCACTGCGTTGCACACTTTTGGACAAAATTATAATACCCTCTGCAAGGGTATAAAAAAGGAAGCAATATAAAAAAAATCCTACGTGTTGTCACTAAACAAAGGTATTTTGAATATACTGTCAAAATTTCAGAACGACCGGTTAAGAGTTGTGTGAGTTATGTGTCCGGCAGTCTCAATAAAAGTGGTTTCGAGAAAAAACGCGTT